AATAAAATATTTAATAATTACTTCTCGGGCGTGAGTGTTTTCTTTCAATCTTGCAGGCAGCTACGGCAATCTGAGAAAATTATCGTCTTATTTAGTCGATGTGACTTCACGTACAAGATGGCTTCCAGAACGGCAATAGATTCACCAGTGTAAACAGTTGAGGTAGGTGAGCATTTAAAGCTTAATAGTACACTGTACTTTGGGATCCAGACCACTGCACCGACATTGCCATCGTCCTGCAATTTTGAGGCGTCTGTAAAGATGGTGAGCCAGTCGTGCCAGTTGTTGTTTAAGATTTTTGTAAATTCGTAGTTAGCATTGACAGAGTCCTTACAAACACCAAAGTTGAGGATTACACGTGGCTGAAAGGTTAGCGCTTCAAAAGGGATCTGAAATAGGGGGTTTTTGGGGATTTTCACAATAGGGGAAGGGAGGTTTTTCAAGATATTTAAGCTTTTAATTAAGGGTGGGGCTTCCCTACTATGGGCCCAATAGGGTGATGAAGCGACACCATCAGACAGGTTTTGTAGTTTTTCTAATAGGGGATGATTCGAATATTGGGCGATGTTAAATAAATATCTGTCGCTCATGAACTGACGCCTGAGGTGTAATGGAGGATCGAGGCACTGGACTTGGAGGGCGTTTATAGGAGATGATTTCATGGCTCCAGTGATGATTCTTAAACATTTAGATTGCATGAGGGTGAGTTTAATTAGGGCCAATTTGCTACAGGGTTCTAGAATGAAGCTGCCGTAGTCGAAATGGCTGCGGATTACAGCATTGTATAATATTTTTTGGTAAAAGGGGTGAGAGCCCCAGCGAACGCCAGATAGTGATCTCAGAACGTTGACGCCTTTCTCAGCTTTATTACAGATATAGTTCAGATGTTGGACTCCAGACAATTTTGAGTCAAATATGATACCCAAAAACTTAGCACAATTTGAGATAGGGATTGGTTGATCGTTGACTGAAATCTCGAGAGTGGGCACGGCTCTTTTACATGAGAAGATAACAGCGTTAGATTTGCTAGGAGAGTCAGGCCATGATCCAGAAGCCAAGTATGGACGGAATTAAGAGCAGAGCTAATGTGAAACGAGGCCTGAAGAAGGTCCTTGGAGGAGATGTATAAGGCTATATCATCGGCGTATTGTAAGACGTTATAAAAACATGATACAGTTAGGTCAAGGTCATACGTATAAAGGTTATATAATAATGGACTCAGCACAGAGCCTTGTGGAAGACCTTGCCAGATAGACCTTGGAGTTTCCAATTCACCATTGACACGTACCGTGACAAACCTGGACATGAGTAAGCTGAAAATAATGTTAGACAGCCTCACAGGAAGGCAATGTTTGAGCAGTTCAGAAAAAACAAATATACGCGATTTAAATCCGGAAAAATAGTTTCATTTCCTATGTGTAACAATCGCGAAAACCTAAGAACTCGATATTATAACTTTAACACTTGATGTTATAAAAAAAAAACAATGTTTTATTTATGTATTTAGTTATGCATTTACAATAACCAGCGACGGAGTTTAGCACACTTTTTATATTTATTATTTTTTTAGCCACTTAAGGGAATCACTACATTTACCGACGAGCCACATTACCGAAGCAGATTCGCTGGAGTCGGTCAGAAAAATCTTTCAAGCTTTTTCGATAAGTATGGTGAGTCCCAATTGGGAGATACAAAATTACATTGTGATAATTTTAACATTCCAATCAACTAGAACTTGATCTTAGACACATTTCTGAACATAATTAACCCTAATTACTTAAAAATATATTTAATATGTATGGCCATAATTGAAATCACAATAAAGGATTACACTTTTTGAATGAACTCCTCAAACTTACAATACAATAAATGATTTTTTGCCTGTCACAGCAACTATTTAACTTATGTTAATATAATTCTCTTCATTTAAAAAAGCATCAACATTGTCTCTTGTCGTTTGACTCCAACGCTAGTGGCGTGTTTACACTTGGTCGACAGGACGCCTTCGTTAGTCCACCACAGCAACCTATCCAATGAAAACACTAGTTTGACTTGCCGATGTCGACAAGGTAATAATCAATTTCGGGCTACACGGTCGCCTTAAGCTAACGCCCTGTCGGTCGGTCACTACGTTTCAATATGTCGGCGGCAGTGTTGGGGGCCGGTAAGTACCTACCGTACCTACCTACCTTCCGTATCAGTTTAACATTTTGGACGATTTGTCGTTTCTGTATGTAAAAACGTATTTGTAATGACGCGCGGCAAGTGCCTTAGACGCAGTCGATTTGGTGTAAACAGTGAGTCGACTACATCTTCTTCGGTGACCGTCAGGATGGTTGGTCGCCTGTGGCGTCTAGCACTGAGTGTATATTCAAGAATTGAAATCTTTTTTAAATAATTGCTACCTATAATATATTCGGAGAAATTTAAAAAAAAATTTGACCGGCCATTCTGACGTCAGGATGGCTGGATGGAAAAATACTGTATATATTGCAGTAATGCATTTTTTTTGCTCATCGAGTGGCACAACAAAGGCCTCCCTCTTTTCATTGTCACCAAACACTACTAAAACCAGAAACGTAAATATTAAACTCAATATTAGCAATAACAAAACCTTTGAATCCTCAGATGAATTACACTAAAACAATTTGATCCACTTATGACAAATAACACACATATTGCGTTATGATGGTTACCTACCCTCGGTTTTATGCATATATCAGCAACCTCACCAGACTAGTTCGCCTCGAAGTAATTGTTAAACGCCTGCCCTTTATATTATGGCAATAAAGCACTAAAAACTTTTGCCTTTTTAGTTTGGTCAGGCACTTTTTCGTAAAATTTTAAATCGGTTATATTTTTTTAACTAATGTAGATAAGAAGCGTATACCTTTAATTCGTGAAGGTAGCAATTATTGGTAATACATACTTCTGGCAAATCTGCTCCCTTCATGCTGAACAAAGAGGCGACCAGCCATCCTGACGCCAAAATGGCTGGTCAAATTTTTTTTTAATTTCTAAGAATATATCATAGGTAGCAATTATTTAGAAAAGGTAGCAAATAGGTAGCAATTCTTGAATATACACTCAGTGCCAGACGCCACAGGCGACCAGCCATCCTGACGGTCACCCTTCTTCGGCAAGGTGAAGTAGTCTGTCGAAGGCGGCAGTCGACCCTGTGTAAACACACTACATCGGCTTTAAGCTAACAATAATAAAAAAACATCACATTCATAATCCATACCATAAAAAAAACACAATTCATTTCAACCATTGACAATTCAATTATATTTGGAATGACAAATTAAAAAAATATTAAACTTAGTTACGAAAAATTTCAAATTGAGCAATTAAAATAAAATACCTACTTATTTGTAAACAATAATAAAAATATGTATATTTGTGATGATTTGTAAAAATGCATATTATATTACGAAAATATCTCGACGCTTAGGAAATAATTAACACAATGATTATTTCAACTCATAGTGAAATTCCTTTGATAAATAAAATCATTCAGATGAATATGTGGGTAGTTTCAAAGACCACAAATAAGTGATGCCTAACCTATATCTCTCAATTTTGTAATAAAACACGAATTGGTTATGCGAGAGAGCAAATACATACAAATTCAGCGTGTAAGCGTTTATATTCGTAAAGCAAAACTTTGGTGGGTATGTTTTCACTTCCAAATAAATGATACACGCATTACTTGCAGTGGTACAAAGTCAGATTGAAATGCACTTCAAATTCATTACCACAATGTTGGTTTATTTTAAATATTCTGAGCACACTGAAGGGATGACCGATGCAAAAATGTAAAGACCATTTTAAATTGATCTTTGGGTGTGTGGTAAGTTTTAGTTCAATGTATCATCTTCCTTGAGTTTACATAGGGACAGTTGCTGCTGCAATCCCGTAAAATATTGGTATACCAAATCGTAATTCTTCTTATAACAGTCACAGGCGTTGTCACTAAAATCATGGTAGAGGTTCAGCTAGCTTTAACGCTGACTGTACTTACATAAGAAAAATAAATGACGACCTCGGTTGTTGAGGTGGATTCCCGGTAGGGCCAATTTGGAAAATTAACTTTCCTAAACTGGTTGTGGTCTGGGTGATCTTGGTATTCATATTGAGGATAGGCAATTCGTGTAGTTATCTGGCACTTTATCTATTATTATTGTAAGGCTCAATTTATATTGCGGCGAAACGGAATGGAAGCGAATTTTTGTAACAATATTGTACATAGCATAATGAACTTTATGTTCAATTGCGTAACGTACAAATTAGATACGAGCCAAAATCTTCCGCGGAATTCTCGCCCATGCTCAAGAATGCTCGCGCTACAATATCGTTACAAAAATTAGCTTCCATTCCGTTTTCCATCTTTGTGTCGTACCAGAGAACAAAGTCGTACTTATATAGATTCAGACTCAATAGTGAGATACAAAAGACAAAAATATAGTCTTAGACATCTAAAATTTACGCTATTTACAAGTTACACTAGAGTTTTAACCAAAAACCAAATATTTATCAAGCTCGAGATTCTATGAAACTTATACAGATCTACTATCTGAGATTCGTTTTTCCGTAAGGCATTATATTTTAAGAAAGACAAACACATTAATATCAAATAGCTACTTTCGTTTCCTTATCCTACCACTTAACACTGTACATTTATAAACAAAACATCCTTAAAATCACGATATCCTTTGGAATGTATTTAGATTACAATTGCGATACGATTTTCCGTAAGGCATTATGTTATAGCCAAGACAAAAACATATACATAAGTAGCCTTAAATATCTAAAACTTACGTTTTCTTACCTACAGGTTTAACATTATATACTTGTAAACAAAACTTCCTTAAAAAGCACGAGATTCTTTGGAACATATTCAGATCAACGATTTGAGACTCATTTTTCCGTAAAGCATTATGTTCTAAGCAATATTGATCTCTTTTACTAGGAAATTGGGGTAATGCTTCGGAACAAAAATGAGGATAGTATTGAATGTCTTCTACGACACTGATGTAATAATACATGCCAGCACTTTCGCGTATTTGTCTGTCTAAAGAACAAGGGGCAACAATATAAAACCTGTACTTTTTTTTGGACTCGTATAACAACCTTTCGGCTTCTGTAAAAACTTCATCTACTCTTAGAAACAATTCGTCCATAGGCATCGATCCGTACTTATGAATAAAGGTCGAGGGCGCTAATTTATATTTATTTCCAGTCATTCTATCCCTCCAAACTTTACTCGTACTTTCCAATTGTAACAAAAACGTTGGTATACTATAACTATGCGTTGTTATAACATGTGTATCGGTACCATATGTGCTTTTTATTTCGCGATGTAGTGTATTCGTTAATGGGTATATGCCTCCTTGATGAATGAAACCGAAGAAAATTGTTAATAGAGCATTTAGCGTATACCACGTAAACCTTAGAGCTTTTTTAAACTTTCTATTTTTAGGACCGTCGCTTTCATTCTCATATAAATGACTTCCGAATAGATATACTAAAGGTACAAGAACAGGAATAACGAATCGGGCTTCCTGGTGGGGAAACAATGACAGTAAAGCCACTGGTATGACTAGAGAGAACAGCATTAGACCTGTGATGCTTTGGATGCGAGGTAACTTGCTGTAATGGCCGCGGATGAATCTGTAAAGATGAACATGGATATCAGTGAAGGCTATAAGGCAATTTTCCGAAAAATTTCAAATACTGGACATTTTTCTGGAAAAAATCCCGAAAAATTGGAAAAATATAATTTCGAAGGCTCTACGTTACACGTTTAGAAATATCTTAATTATAAAATAAAGTTGTAAAGCTAAAAGTCACTATTATAAAGAAAAACGAGATTTAACATAGGTAATAATAATAATAATAATAACGCACTCACTCAACATGGCCCCGCACTAGGGAAACTCTGCGTCGCGGGTGCTATGGACACACACATAGACAACCAAAAATTACACCCAAACTCACGAGAGAAATAGAATATAGGCCGTGTGTGGCAGTCCGGCATGGTAACCGTTCGGCCACAGAGACAGTGAAATATGCTCTCTACTCTACTCTAAACTCACTACGGCGAAAAAATCTTTCTAATTGCTCCTTCCTAATTTATTTTTGTGAAAAAATGTTGTTTTTTTTCAAAATAGGATTTTTTTCAATACTAGTAAAAGTAGTTAATTTGTAGTTTGAAATGATGGCTGTAGTATCAACCTTTGGCTTTAATACGAAGGCAATGGCACATTTCCCTTTACAACTCTTGACCAACAATTACAATAATATAAACACCAAAAGCAGGGTTTCGAAGTGATAATTATCAAAATAATTATCTTGATAAATCAATATACCTTGAATTATCAAATTAATTTTTTAAATAATTATCATGTTAATTATAACATGATAATATTTATGTAATATTTATTCATGATATTATTTGTGCAGTTGAGTGTACCTAAATGAGTACATTATCAATATCCATATAATCGTACCATCCATATAATATACTCGTACCATACAATTGGTGCTATTCATGTATTGTCATATGAAGTGTCGCCCACAAACAATCGCGTATTACTCAACACTTATGGGAAATATTTTTTTATTTCTCATTAGTGCTTAAGGAACAAACAAAGAGTAGAAGGTTTACTACTTAATATTATGCACATGACACACTACTTTCAATGGGTTTTTGTTATCGTTGGAAACAGTTTCAGTTTGTAAATTATAATAATCGATACAAAGACCCAAAAAACATGAAGAAAAATTCCTTCAATCGAACTGGACTCGAACCAGCAAGTGTTGCCCAATGTGGCTACCGCTCTTGAGCTATGGATGGAGCCAGTGGATCTCATGAATTGCGAATCTTTGTATTGGGTTTAACGGCTTATATGCAGTAGAGCCACTTGTGAGAACTTATGAGTTCCTTCACTCAGCCAGGCGCCCTTACAGCTAACAGAAAACTGGTATTGAAGTTGCTCTATTAATTGCAATATTTTATTTTCATTGAATATCATGATGTTTAAACTAGCATGATATTCATCTATTTTTTGTGAAAATACTCCTCTAGTTTGTATTATTGTTGATACAAAAATTTAACAAACACAAAGAAAAAAGGTACTCATGAAAATAAAATATGAATTATAAATTATAATTTGTGACTTATTACAATGACCCCACTGAATAAACGTGTATAATCTACATGATAGTTACGTATTATACATGTTTATTTGGTTCAAACAATGTAAATTTTTTAAATTAGGATTTTAAAAACTTAATTTAAAGCTGATAATAATGGTGTTAAGATTAATTACCTGTATATAATGCTGGCAATTGTAAAATGGGCCAACAACCCAAGTACATTGAACAGCAGTGGCACATTGACAACCATGTGAAGCCACCATGGATGTAATCCATGTAGTTGCAGATTCCGTTTATCTGCATTATACCGCAGGAAATTCAACGGAGTCACCACCCAATTGTCCCAACCCAGTTTTAGAGATTCCACATCTGCCTTTGTCAAATATCCATAATAACCAGAATCAACTAAAATGAGGAATAAAATCGTAGGGATGCTGAATACAATGAAGCATAAAATACGGTAATGGAAGTCTTTGAAACCAACTATTTTAGAACCTAAACCACGATGCAGCCAAAAGAAAATTGGTGGAAATGCAAAGCCTACAAACGTTGGACGATTAAATATCCCTAGAATAACTAGAGTTGATAATATTGCGACTCTATTCAAAGAATGATCTGGCAAATGAGTCTGTAGTTTAAAAAGTTTCACTCTTTCCACTGGTGACTTTGCCTTGTCATACTTTTCTTTCAAAAACTCACTATGATAAATTACTTTGTCAGATTTTAACATGCATTCAGCTACTAAGTATAGAAGAATCGAGAAAAACATCATTTCAAAGGTGTTTGAGAAACTTCTTGTGCAATAAACAAATATGACGTACGAACTAGCAAATACTTTAAGCCGTGTTCTAAAATTTTGCCCGTATAAAATACATATTTTGTATAAACAGTAATCATTTATAAACGACAGCAAACAAATAAATATTCGTGGTATAACTAGCAAGTAGTAGGGAGTTTTTAGATCTATGTTCAGGTAGTTTTTTGAATATGGATTCATAATTTGAATAAAGTGTAATGGTGGTCCAAGGATCATTTTGGGTATGAAGATGTTTCTAATAGGGAATTTGGGATTGAATTCCCATGTTTTCGCCACATCCACTGAGAAAATGTCGCCTGAAAAAAAAGTAACTTTTCTCAACGGTTGCTTGTAAATAAAACTCAGTTAATACGTGATATGAATAGTAAACATACCAGCGATAACTTCAACATTCTGGAAAAATTCATCTGGATGTATATAACCTCGTTGCGGAATAATTGTAAGCAAAAATCTAACACAAGCAAGAACCCAATACGATAGTGGTAATTTCACTGGCGGTTTAAATAAAATTGCTTTAAAAATTTCTGTCTTTAAGAACATGATTATTTAACACTGCACTGGGTTGTTTAAGTAGACTATAAAAACTGGAAATAATTTAGTTACATGATGTAAACGTTTTAAATAGAACCGCAGTTACTGTTTGTTACTGCATTTATTATTTTTTTAAAGTTCCTTCCCCCATTCACACTTCTTTAGGTAGACAAAGGTTCTATTTACCATACAGCCTCTTCATATATTTTAGATAAATAAATAGTGTGATTTTGACGTTTTCTAAGTCTGTAACGTAACTTTCGAAGTATGGAAAGCGTTTGAATGTTTTGAATCTTAGGGTCGTATTCTAGAACTCTACTCAATGCTCAAGTCAGGATTGCACTGGAAACACAAGTACTGGAAATACGACCCTAATGGTAGGGACTTGAGTATGATTTCGAGTGCTTTAAACCATGCTCAAATTCTGACTTGAACATTGAGTAGAGTTCTAGAATACGGCCCTTAGGGTCGTATTCCAGAACTCTACTCAATACTCAAGTCAGGACTTGAGTATTGCAGTGAGCACTGAAAATCATACTCAAGTCCTTGCCATTAGGGTCGTATTTCCAGTGCTTGAAATCATACTCAAGTCTGCTCAAAT